GCACCCTCCCTGTCCCTGCTACCGAATTTGTTCCCGGTATCATCGCTCACGCTGCATCCTCCGGGATATTATCCTAACCTACTCCTTCAACCCGGAGGATGCTCGGGCTCTCCGGCCCCGGGCTGAAAGGGAAGCGGTTGGGTCATTACTTACTTTTCCTGAGTATTGAGACATTTTCTGCTGGCTGCTATCCAAGACCAAAAGCGGGAGCCAAACCAAAACCACGATGATGGACAGAAACGTTGGACACCCCGCTATATAGCAGCCGGAGCATGGGGGGAGACGGGGCTGGTGTCGCGAGGGCTTTTTAACAAAGCAGTGGGAACCGGGGGCTTTACGCTTTCCTGCTTCGTAGGCAGAACCGCTGGTAACGGGGCCTGCTGAGTCCGGGGTTTTGATTTTGGGCAGACGATCTGACAAAAGATTTGCTTGGCAGGGCTTTGGTCGATTAGCGGTGCACATTTACTGCTCCTTTTTGAAGGACTTTCCCCCCCCCATTTTCCTCCCTTTTTTCCTTCCCCCTCTTTTTTTCTCTTTTCTTTTTTTCTCCTTTTTTTTTTCTTTTTTTTCCTTTTATTTTTTTAGAACATACAAGAAATTAATAAGGAACCAGCGGCAGCTCTAACCATGGTGCATAGTTTCTCTATGCTAGGTTTGCTTCTTTTTACTGGTTTTTCCCAGCTTCTTCTCACCTGTTGCAGTGTCGCAGCCGAAAGCAAGCGTCCTTGGAAGACTCCTCACCAAAAACACACTGCACTCCATCCGTCAGAGCAATGGTTTCTCGTTCAACCTTTGAACTTCTTTAAATAGCATCTCTGAAAGCCAGGGACCTAATCCCCTCCGAAGTGCAAAGTTGGGGCTCGCAAACCCACCGACATTATTCACAAGCATCATTTTTATGAATGTTCTGATCTTCCAGCACTGAAGCACCGAGACACAGATATAAGTCAGGATTAGAGGGATTTTTAAGCCATACCATTGACCATAGTGATATTGCCCATATAGCTGCAATTACGGCTTCAGAGTCTGGCATCTCAAATGCCAGTGCAAGGAAAAACTGCTTCATATTCCCCTCTTTTGTGTTACAAGAGCATCCAGAGACTTTGACTGTCTTATTCTCAGGACAAACAGCAAGGCAAAGCCCCAGCCCATAAACCCCTCCAGTTTATATTAATGAGTCAGGCTAAGAGGTAAAGGCAAATGCAGGGGGGTGGCCCACGGACCAGCGCACAGAGACGTACCAGGGCACCAGGTTAAAAGGAAATTTTTCTTTTGTGCTATTTAGTAGCTCTGGAAGAGAAATCACACCCAGCTCCTACTCATCAAATCCTCCTCTTCGTCACCCACGGGGCCCCCGTCACCTCCCCCCGCCGCTGGCACTCCGCTCCCTGGACCGTCAGGCACACGCTTTGAATCCGAACCCTAAAAACTCATTTCTCGGCAGGTCGCTCCCATCCGCAACCCCGCTCTGCTGCCTTTGTTCACCGCTTCGTTTCAAGATTAAAGACCGTTTGGGAAGAAAGGATGTCATTATTAAGGCTTAAACGTACGCCGCCCTTTCAATTAAGATGTAAAAGTTAATAAGCGCGTGTGCACGCACACGTAGGCTGAGCTGGAAGACGTCGTGTTGACTGGGATGCGCTGGAGGGAGGTGGCACATCGCACTTGGAGAAGAAACGCATCCTTCAGCTGATGCAGGTAAACCTGCCCCAGCATCGCAGAAATGCTGTTTACATTTACAGGTTCTGATGAGAGGCAGGAAATAATGAAGAAAAGCCTCATCTAATTAAAAAAAACCTACCCAAACCTTCATTGAAATGCTGGTGGTATTTTCTAGGTGCTAAATTAGTCACCAGATGGTGTGAGAAAAGTAACAACGCATGGAAAGTCCCACTTGGAAGAGCAACAGCCAGAGAACGGGGCATTAGTGGCACCCCCAAAACCAGCCCTTCCCCGCAGCCTTGCACTGGTGCCCTGGGAGGGAAGGAGGAGACGTGTCCCTCTTCTGAGTCACGGCTGGGAGCACCAGGGTGACGAGGTGGCATCGTTGTTGGCGCTGGGACCCAACGCTCTTTGCGTTGGCCATGAGCTGTTTGGAGCCTGGAGAGGATGACCCACAACATCCATGACAAACTGGCCCTAAAGTACGCAGTAAAGCAAATATTACCGCAGGAGGAGGTTTTTATGGAACCACAAAAGACTGGTTTCCTCCGGCTCTGTCTCATGATGGGATTTTCCCGTTTCTCTTAAGGTGTGAGCTTTAATTAAATCTGCAGGAACCCCAAGTATCTGAGACTTGTGCCCGGCTTTTAGATTTGTTAGAAGTTGTCCAGCAGGTTCGAAAGCTAATTTAGAAGAGATGGAAAGAGGGTGTGACAACTTTATTTTCATTTCTTTGAGAAACCATGTTAAAGATACGAAATAACAAAGGGCCCATCTCTAGAAAAAAGGAAGACGATGGGAAAAAAAAAATACTGAAGAACTGCAAACCCTAATTCCTGGAAGAAAACCCCTTCATTCCTTCCAAAGGATGGAATGGCTGCCCATGGAGGAGATAGAAGAGCAGCTGAGGAGCCTGTGGCCACCAGCAACCTTTCAGGCACGCGATGCTGGGGCAGACCTCGCCTCCCGCTTGTGCCCAGGTGCAGGATTGCATCCGACGGCGGTGCCCCAAACGAACAGGTCGCAGGCAGCCCTCCTCTGCTGTGGCTGTTTAGAGGATGGAGCGTCGGAGACATGAACTTACAAGTTTGAGCGTTAGGCTTTACCAGACAAAACCCAAAAGTCTGAGATTTTTTTGCGCGCCGTGGTTTAGAAGGAGTGAGAAATGGGGGGCGCGGGGGCGGCTCCGGGCTGTGCTGTCCCTGCCTGCCTTTGCTGGCACGAGGCCGAGGAGCGAGGCGGTCAGAGACGATTTGCTCTGAATCCAGGCCTGAGCCAGGGGGGTGAGAAAACCAAACATCTCAACCATGCAAGGTGGCTAAGGTTGATTTCAGGTCCATTGTAACCCTACAGTTACATCCCCAACAAAACCAGGGCGGGAAGGACTCGATGCCACGGGACACTTGTCGGTGCCAACACCAGTCACAGAGATAGACCCAGCCATGCTAGAAACCAGAACTCAGCCATCCAGGACAAAACCACCCTGCCTGGATAAACGTGGTGGCTCCTGGCCACCACCCTGCTCTCCTCCCCGCATCCCACCTACACAAAGGATCCGGGCACAGTTCTTGTCCTCTTATAAAGTCATTTCCATTACATGCCAAGGGGTTGCGGGCAAGGTTATGTCAGCATAAATAAGCCCAGGTTGGGTGGTCTTCAAAACGCAGCCGTGAGATGCCACCACCTCCTTCCATGGGGTGTTACGTAGGATCACGAGCGGTGTTCCCCAGGGCTCAG